TAAATATAAATATAAATATAAATATAAATACAAATATATACATAGGTAAATAAATATATATTTATTCATAGAATCTACAGTTTAACCAATTTTGGTTTTTTCAGTCCGAAGCTATTTTTCTTTCCTTTGTTCCTTTATTTACTGATTAACGTCAAATGATCAGTTATTATACGTTTACTATGCCAATAACAACTGTCATATTCATGCAAAATTTTTGATTGAAGTTACGTTTGCAAAAAAAAAGAAAAATTGTTTACTAATGGTTCTGACGGTATTCAAATGACGAGTTTTATTGATATAAGTAGAAAACATAGAAACCTTCTGAGCAAAAAAATTAACTGCTAAGTTTTAACAAAATTAATAAACAAAAAAAATTTTTTTTGTAGAACCATTTTTGAGCAGTTCACTTCAGATATAACTTCAGCTGGAATTCCAGAGAGCAACAATTCAAACAACAAGTATAAACATCCCTGCCTACCTAATCGGTTTGCTGCTTTTCGCTACAATGCTATATCAGTAATGTGTTTAACAGAAAGAATCACACAGCGGCGTCATGTTAACGATTTCATCGTTAAGAATTTTATAACAGCTGCGGACTACTTAGTGGAATCGTAAACAGTGACGGGAACTTGTTTTCATATGAGTCAAACTGATGCGGTATTGCCGATCATAAAGCAACAAAAATTTGATGTTTCAGAAACTGAAGGGCCTACAGGATGATAGTTCTGATTTTTTTTTAACTCATTGAAAAGCATAAAATTCGAGACTTCAGCCACTACCCAAACCAACGAATGGAAAAAAAAAAAAAAAAAGCAATTTTTGGCAAAGCAAAAAAGATTACCATTTGCTTCTCCAAACAAATTCCTTCTCATTTTTTCCCTTCTTCCTTTTTAAAAATATAATTAATTATGATAAATATAAACTTCAGGCAATTTTCTCAAACCTTTGAAGACTTCATTAAAATAATTTTTCAAAAAATCCCTTACCTCAACAACATTTGCCACCAACGTCTAACTTAATGAAAAGAATAAGTGAAATCTCTAACTTTCCTCTTTTTTTTTTTTTGTATTTCTGCTAAAATAGTGGAGTGTTAAAAAAGTGGTGTTATTCAATCGCCTTTCCTAAGTCTATTTGTTCTTAAAAATCTTTTTTTTTTTGATGCCATAATTTTGATCAGATGATCCCTTGAATTCAACCGGATTTATTGCTACGCAACTTATGCAACATAGAAAATCAAAATAAATATCCGTAATAGTACAATAAATCAACCATGCTCTAGTTATGACAGTACTCAATTAAATGACCACTAAATAATTTAAGTAATATATGTGAAAAAAAAAAAAAAAAGGAACAAACGCTACTGTAATAATAATCATCCCAAATTGATCGCTCTTATAGATTTTTTAAATAAATTTTTGCCATAACCACCTCTTCTTCTTTTTTTTTCTTATTCCTTTAATACCTAATAATAAGCAAAATAATAATATATACATATGTCTTTCTTGACTTCATATATCCTATCACGACAATCATCACTCATCTGCTCCCACCATTATTTGTACGTTATTCATAAGTTTTCGGCACAAAAAAGAAGATACATATGGTAAACACGAAGGTTAATCTTCTTACACAACAAAAGCAACAAGGATAAAAAAAAAACAACTTTTACATGCGTTACACAATTGCCTCTGCCCTAACATTCATTCACAAAGCACTTAGCCCGTTTCTTTTCGCGTCGTCCTTTCGCTCTCTTCACCTCCTTT